CCTGTTAGAAGGACATCGAGCTGAGCGCTCGACCTTGGCGCAGGATTTCAAGAGCAGCCAGTCGGGAATTTATAGAATTTTTTGGTTTCTTCTCCGTTTTTTTCCTCCTGGCTGCGTATCTTTTGTTGCGATCTGATTGATTGCTGTCAGGATTTTAGCTGGGAACGAATCCTAGGGGCTGCCTGGCATTGAGCAGCTGCCTTTTGTCCTTCCGTCGGCCATTTTTAAATATTTCCCTACTTGGTTTACACTTACTTTAAAGATACTTTAAAGTATCTCATAGGTTTGTGGCAACTTTCGCCGCTGTCCTGGGGAATTAATCATCGCCTAAGTACGCAGCTTGTGGCTAAGGACATGCGCAACAGTCCCCTCCCCCTACATCTCCCACCGAATACCATCTCGTCCTGCAGCAGCTGTGGCCAAAGCGAGAGCAATATACAGTTAAAGCTTTTCCCACTGCGGAAAAAGCTTGGCTATCTGGCTGGCTGGCAAATGTGTCCTTATGGTCCTTCTGCATGTATTTCGGGGGATGTGTGTATGCGAATAAAAATTCAATCAAAATGGCGTTTGCCCAACGCAGGATGCTGTATTATTTGTTTTGTTTTTTGCTGATTTATTTGGGTTTTCAAACGGAAACTTTATTAGGGATTTTAAAAGGGAGGAATCACTAGGGATTTAAACTGAAATTGTTACGATCTGAGCTTAATGTATTTTAATCTCTATAAAATTCCCGTTTACAAGGCTTACCTCACATCAGAAAAAGTGTAGAAATATATAAAGTATCATAATTATAAATAAAACATCAAAAATAATCGCAAAATTCTCTGCAAAAGATTTTTACATAACTCAGCACTCTTCCCTCACAACAACTCCTGAGCGTAGATGAGTCTCCTTCTCCGAGCTCATCGCTTAAGCTCAGCTGTTGTCTCCTCCTAATGACCTCCAAGGCCCTTTCCTGCAAAACCACTTCACCCAGTCTCAAGACCAAGCAGTCCTCCCTCTTCCCTCCCCTTAACAACTCCGCCAGCCATCCTGTTCGGCTAAGTAGCTCACGTCTGACAGCTGAGCAACGTTTGTCATAATCAAATGTGAATGGACTGACACTGACACTGACGCTGGGGCTACGAGGACTACAAACTGAAAACTGAGAACTGAGAACTGAAAACTGGTAGCTGCCAAAAAGCAGAGAGTGGAAATTAATTTAAATTGGCCTTTAATGTAAATGCATCTCTCAATGCATCGCCAACTGCAGTTCGGTTCTGTACGAGTTTTGCCCTGCTCCAGATATCGCTTATATCCCGACTAACACCGACTTGTGTTTGCCTCCAAATGGAGAGTATTTATCAACTACTCGTAGACACGGACTACCCATCCTCCAACCTATTTGGAAAACACAAAACAGAAAACCCCCATTTCCATTACGGATGCGTGAAGAACTCAAATGGCAAGGTATTAACGAATTGTCGTGAGCTTCGTCCGGTGGAGGGGTGTTCATTTTTCTTGGATCGTTTAATTGGAAACTGTTGCTCGAGCAGTTCTCCTGATGCACAGAGAAGAAATTTTAGTAACAGTATTAACTGATCTAAAACCATCTTAAATTTTAAGTCAAAAATAATTTATATAAAGTTTAATAACAGTATATGAAGTAGATACTGAAAATATTCTCTCTAAACTGCTATGTAAAGAATAGCTACAACTTCGACGATTTTAAGATCATTATTTCTTGATACTTTTAACATTAAATATTATTTAACTTAAATTTAATTTATATTTTCTCTCCGTGCCTTGTCCTATGCCCACATTTAATTTGAAAATTCCTATTCCGCGTTAAGCGCTGTTTTCTCGAACTAAAAACAAACTACAAACGCTGCTGATTGTTTCATATTAAAAACTGGGCGAGTGTGTGTGATGGGGAGGGGGGAACAACATGCAAGCGATGATGAAAAATCGCCTGCAACATGTTGGATGCTGCTGAGGGACCCTCCATGGATCTGGATTGGAATGGGATCCGAGAGAGGACGGTATATGCTATATGCCATGGATTGGGATACCAAAGTCTGGCTCTGACTGCCCGCTGGCATCGCCAACATCAACTCCAATTACAGAAGTACACGCAGGCGTCTCTCTTATGATTTCTTTTTTTAGTTTTTCATTTATTTTCCATCTTTTTGTCTGTGTTTTTTACATATTCTTATTTGCTTTGAGGATGATATGCGGGCTGAATAGAGAGAGGAAGCTGAGTGCCTTGCATGTGCGATGGGAAAATGGAAGGGAAACATGTGTCACAGTAAGGGAAGTCCTTAGTTTTGGCTATATTAGTAAATTGTTTGAACAGTCTAAGATCTAAACTTGTTTGGCATTGCCTAAATATGAGATAAACTTGACAAGCTTTAAGAAGTCTAAAAGGGATTTGAGGTAAATTGCGAAGTTATTTGGCTTTCAACGAAGAACTTGTTTAAGCTTAAGAGTGAAGGCAAATCGTCCACAAACTGTTTATGAGATTTTATTACTTGTAAAAGTTTAGGTATGAAATATCTGTTTATTAAGAAAGCAAATTTACGTTGCAGCTTACACAGAACCTCACATAAGGCTCTCTGATTTCTATTTTCATAGCAGCATCTTCAAGTTTTGCCATTTTAATAATTTTCACTTCATAGCTCAAAAACTGATATGCAAAGAAGATCGATTTGTGGTCCCACAACCTACTGTGTTAGTTCCAAAAATAGAAACCAAAACAATAATCTCATTGAAAACCCACTCTGGGTGTGTCTTCATCAGCAACTCAAACTAGTGATAAAAATAGCTAATCAACCTAAAAAAAAAAGCAAAAAACGAACTAATCAATCGAATTGAAATTCAAAAACCGGCGTAATCAGAAGGCATTTGTTCAGCTCTGAATGTGAATCTGGAATGTTGGTAGCAAATATGAAATCGACTTTTAATTAAGGCATTTAGCCAAACAAATCAAAATCGTTAAGCCCCGAAAACCGAATGAATCACGGCAACTTGAACTTGGCTGGAGTCCAAAATGAACCCGATCCGGAGCCCCAAAAAAAAAAAAAAAAAACAGACCAATAAATTTAAATTCAGAGACAACTGCCAACGAGCTCGTTTTAAAGGAGGAATAACTTTGGCTTTCCGAGGGGACTTTGCATTTTGGCCAGGCCAATAAAAATGCGAAATAATAATGTGACGGTGATTTAGCGGAACAGGGCCACGATTGAATACAAATAAAGTGGGGGAGACGCCTAATCTAGGATGATTTCGGCCTAATCTGGACCGTGAACCGGGGGCAGATGCGTCCTGGAGTGGCTGCCAACTACCTGTTTTTTCTCGCTTTTCTCGATTTTCTCGCTTTTCCCAGCAGCGGGCTTTTACCAAAAAAAAAAAAAAAAAAAAAACGGGGGAAAAGCTGGAGCGCCATAGGCCCGTTGCCGTGGCACCCTCTGCGCATAAATCAAGGCAAGAGGCGGAGTCAGCAATGGGTAGAAGCGAGATAGCATGGTTTTCGAAAATGCGCACTGTCCGGCCTCTCGTTCGCACCCGCTGGCAGGGTGCTCAAATGATTTACAGTGTTCGAAACGCACACAAAGGCAGCGAACTAGAGGGTCGTTCTGTCCGTTTTTATGGCTCAAACGTGAATCGAACGTGGCGCACTTCAGTCGCCAAGCTGCGCGCTCGGTCTCCTGCTAAAAAGTATTTCAAAGATACATTAACTCTCGTAATCGTTCTCAACCGCGCTCGCTATCCGCGAAGTTTCCGCTCGAAAGCCAGTCTTGCGATTGTCCATGGAAAGCTCTTTGGCGACGGCAAGGTGCCATGGTCTCCCCATAGCGGATACTCTAACGACTAACTCCTTTACATAGGAGGGGATTTCTTATCCACCTTAAATATATTCTCAAAGTGTTCACTATCTTAAATAACTAAGAGATACAAAAGTGCTGTGCTTAGAGGAAAATACAATTCATAGAAAAATACAAAGATACAGTGAAGTGTTGCTAGAAAAACTTATTGAAATAACACAGCTCATTCGGAATCTGCGATTGGATTTCTTCAATTTGTTCATTAAAAGGTAAGTTAAAAGTGTGACTAAGGTAGAAAGCACTTTAAACTTTAAATATAGGAAGGGAAATAGGTACAGGAGTCGTCAGAATGACATTGCTTAGGAGACTTTTGCTCAATTTTTAACTTAAAAGAAGGCTTTATCTTTGCCTTAACTTAAAAGAAAGATTGAAGGTGCAAGCTGAAAAGAATGAGATGAATGAATGAAGGAATGATATGAGAATGTAACTTTAATATTTCTTTGATTTGCGTTAGTTAAGTGTAAATAAGTCCCCTTAAAACCACAAATCGTCATTGTATCTTTATAGTAACGTTAAGGGATCTCATAAACCACAATATTGCTTAGAAATTAACCGCTTAACATGCCAGATATATCCGATATATCCGATTTTACATATTTACTTGCTAAAATTATGGTAATGGTAATACTTGTATTTAAACATGTAACTTTCAATAAACAAGCCATAAAAAGGCTGATCAATGTTTGATTATTTCATTAAATATACAAATTTAAAACCTCTTCCTTAAAAAAAAAACTTTAAAAAAGATTTAAATATAAATTTATGGACTAAAATATACTGAAAATGTATTAAATCTTTGACTCATATTTTATTAAAAATAGGCCAAAATCCAATAGTTAAAATTGAAAATAAAACCTTAAATATAACTCTATCATAATAATATTCTCCAACACTTATTTTGATAGTATTTTATCTCCCAAAATCCCCAAAACGAGTCCCAAACGTCTCCATTTCAATCCCGAAACCTTTCCGTGCTGACCCAAAGTTCGAAGTTCGAATGTTTATGATTTGAGCACCTCGGAATCGATCTCACACGGACAGTGTCGGTGAGAACAATAAGAATTTCGGATGGTTGGAAGTTCGAAAACGTACTTTTCGAACTGCCGACTGACGATCTCACACGTACACGGTCTCATACAGCGTATGCGTGTGAGAGAACAATAAGAACTTGTTCGAAGCTAGAGAGAGCCGAGCTATTCGAACAGGCGCTCTTTCGAACTCACACACACAGTAAGCTCGTATGGGTGAGACACAATTTGTGGCAACGAATTTCTGGTTTGGCGGTTGATTCGAAACGTTCTTCGCGTCCGCAAAGGTAGTTTCGGTAATTGCTCGAGTGCGAGCGAGATGGCAGAGCGGCGCAATGGCCGACGTCTCGCTCGCACACTTTTCGAATAATGAACGCTGCACTTGGTCGGCGGTATATAGCTATATGGCCACATAGCCCTACTTGCTCGTACTCGCAGATACAATTGGACGGGGGAAATGGGGCAGTGTGAGTGAGCCAGAGCGCTGGCGTGTCTGTGTGTTTTTTATTGATGCTCAGATATTTGAATTATGCCCGAGCAGTCAAAGTGAGACATTGGCGCTTCGAGCACGTATCCGCGGATACACCGGAATAAAAACAAAATTAAAAAAGAAAAACTCAAATTCAGAATCAGATTCAAACTTAAATTCTAACAATCCAACACACTGCAGTGCCGCGCAATAAGATACAAAGATACAAAGACAAAGATAAAAATTCTGTTCGATCTTTTTGCGCGAGAGATGGATGGGCTGCAAAGTGCTTGCATCGATGCTGGCGTTGATGGACAGTCATAAATTCGGCGTGAAATTTGCGCAGATACTTAGATACTTGGCCATCCCGCAGATACTTATCGCGTTCTGTGACAAATTGCGCGAGTGCGTTTGTGTTCTTGTGTTACCCAAAAGCCAAAAACCGTCCAAACCCGTCGCTTAGCCCTTTGCGGCCAATTAACCATTAGGACCATCCAAAACACTCTCACCTGCAGGTAGAACTCAAAAGTCTAGCCAATTTGCCAGCAGGATGCCAACGGATTAACTCCACAGATAGCCCAGATATCCGGCTGGTTGTGACAGTTTTACCCTTGTGATTGTCCACTGCAATTTCCGTAATTTCGGCGCAAGTGAAATTCAGTGAATCAGTGCAGTGAAAATCCGAAAAGAAAACTCACTTCAGCGGAGGTGAACGCCGTCGGCTAACTGAAATTGTGAGTAAATGAGTGTTAGGGCTGAAGAATTGGTTGCAACACTTTGGGGCAGGTGAAATCCGTGGTTGACTAGGATATATTTACGTTTTTTGTTTCTTTTTTGTTTTGTATTTTTTGTGATTTTTTTATGTGCTAAGAAATATAAAGAAACTGAAAGGTTATAAGATTATGAAGTCTTACATTGCTATAAGAAATATCAATATCAGAAAAGAAAAATGTATACTTTTTAGGGGATGTGTTTTTATATTTTCCAAGTTTAAAACCCCTGCAATATGATTTATTCATTAATTTAATATATTTCATCTTGTTATGTTTTGTAACTTTATTTTCATTATACAAATATCTGATCTTTTAAAAAGACGTTTACTTAGTCTTATTAAACCATCAGATTTAGCCTTTAATTGGTGGAGGATTTCATTTTAAATAAGTCTACACATTTTATTAGTCAAGACAAGGTCATAGGGAAAGGTTAAACAGTAACCCATAAAAATGAAACACTTTAAGCTAGTGAATTAAGTTCTTGTTTACCTAAACTCCTCAGCCATTACATGAAGACGTTCTCGTAACTCCCTCATCATAAATCAATAAAAATATGTTTGTTTTGTCCGAAAAAGAAACACCCCGAATCAACTGTTTATATATACTCCGATATCTGGTCATTGTTTCTGTTCTTTGCTGTGTGTGTAGTAGTAATTTTTCATTGGGTTGCGTGTGCGGTATCAACGCAAGGAATTTTCACTTCATTAAAACGAAATGCAGCCGCTTTTGAAATAATTAAGAGGCACAAAGGCGAAATGTCACAGCGAATGAAAAATGCCTAACAAGCGGCGCATATAGAAGGCTAATCCAGGCACATAGCCAGCCCTATATACCAAGCCCCGAAAGTAGGGATAGGGATGAAGAAATACCTAACATATAGGCTTGGCCCCTGGCACGGCGGACTCGAACCCATGCTGGCCAAGACGCCATGGGGCGAACCTGAAATTATGTAAAGTAAAGTAAAAAAAAAAGAGAAAAGCAGACGCACTCGTCTGGAACTTCGGGGGACTTTGCCAATGACCGAGTAAAGACGATGCTCCTGGGCAGAACTCCGCATCCCGGCATGGACTCCCATATGTGCTCTAAGTGGATGAAATTCCACTTGATGTAGGTCACTTTCATTCGCCCAGCCCGCCGGGGGTGGGCCAAGATCAAAGAGCTGGCTGCAGAGCTATTGCATAATGTGGGCACAACACAGAGACAGTTGCAGACCCAGACCCAGTCACATTCCCATTTCCATTTCCCTTTCCAAGTAATAGTCAGTAGTACATGGCTAATTGAGGAGGGAAGAGGCCAGTCCAAAGTTCCTTTGAGTGTCTTCTGCAGCGCCGTAATTTATTTGGCCTGCGCCTGGCGGAGACATTCATCACAGCCAAACCCTGGCTCGCCTCCTCGCTCCCTCTCCCCCTTCACAAATATTTCAACTCAACTTGTTCATATTTATAAATCAAAATCGCAAACACGCAAGCTGAAAATTTGTGCTAGAGTCGTTGATCTATTGGCCGCAAAAATGGCAGACATTTCTGACGGGAAACGAAATTTGTAAACTACATGCCAAAGTAAAGAGATTAAGAGCCCCTGAAGGTTCAAGCTAAACTAAAAAATGTGAATTTGGATTAAATAGTCTTTACCCAAGGCTTGTTTCTTCAAATTGAAACATAAATCATAAAGATAAATCTCTTTCTGTTAAGCAGTTAGCCAGACTCCCTATTTTAATTACGTATTAATGGAAGGGAACTCAAAAGAACATAAAGAATCATCCAGTTACTTCTTCTACTAATGAAAACACCCAGTAGCACCCCCTCTCCCTGTCACAAATCAACTTAATCAAAGATTAACCAAGAACAGTAGCCAAACCATGAAATATTACACAATTGAGATGTCCTTGACCAGAAACAGGACTTCTGTCCTGATACTTCCTCCTCAACCATTACGCAACAGATCGTAAATTATCAGGACAGAGATGAGATGACAAACTCAACCGCAAATGGCCGCTTGCAGTGAGGATCGGGATCGATGATTGGTTTTGGGCTGGGAAAACAATTGGAGAACTCATAAAAATTATGAGTGCCATGACAAACAAACAAGCAAACCGCAAACAGCGACTGCGACTGCGACTGCGACTGTGACGAGGGTTGCCACGGCAGTTGTAGCCACGAGATGGCCACAAAAAGATGAAGAGGAATAATATTTATGACTATTTTTATGAGGTGCTTACAAATTTTTATGACTTTTTAATGGGTTTTTGGCCCTCTCTCTTCCACTTCAGCCATCATCCATCCGAGTAAGCGGGACAACAGGCCTTGCCAATGAGTGTGACTGCGCGTGCGCAAATACCTTTTATTTATCTTTATTTTTTTTTGTTCTGTACTTCTGCTTTTTTCCTCGAGCTGAGCTGAACTCGTGCGTACCGCTGTTTGAGGTTCTAGAGCGGCGTGTTTACATGCACACAAGCTACGCCCCTGTTGACAACAAATATTAAAAATTATGATTTATGGCCAGGGCTCGTTTGGGTACAAAATCCGTAATGGTGACGACAAACAGCCCGGCGACATTCGTAGGCGAAGTAACTGCTTTCGGTGCTTTGTTCGGCCCGTAATTAAGATGGTGCCCTCTGGGCTCTGGGCCAATGACGTAGATGATGACGGTGATGGAGTGCTCAGAAATGGATGACAGTTCCTTCTTTAAGCCGAAACGAGTTAGGCTAGGTTTGGGTTCAGTTGGGCTGTGACTAGAATTAGTAAAAGTTGTTTAAAGTTGAGCTGAAGAACGGAGATAAAAGTAAAAGTAGCAGAACGTTTTAAAGACGGCAAGATAAACTTTTTAAGAGTTATGGTGGCTCTTTTAGATGTATCCCTTTCTCCCCTTTTTAAAGAATTAATACTGAACTAATTACTATAAGTCTGTTTGGATGATAGGATAGGAACCTATTAGGTTCTTTTTAGGTTTAACACTTCTTAGTTAACTTATGTTCTTAGGGAGTCTGAGGAATCTACACCCTTAACGTTTAAAAAAGAAAATCTGAAATGAAAATCATTTATTTTTCATTTCCCTAAAACAATCAGTATAAGCCAGATATGCAAATCCCAACGTCGATTGATTATGCAAAAGTTAATCATCTTAATTGGGCAGATGCTCAGCCCTCAGCCCAGCTCATAAGAAAAGCGCTTGGGAGAGTCAGGACCCCGCGACCCCCTGAAACATAACGTCAACATCTCGAACGAGGTTCGGGGAAGGAAACCCTTTTCAGCTGTCGCCCTGGAATATTTCCCCCAATTGATTTATGGCATCGGCCGACGCATGTGCAACTCAATTGCTGTTTACTCTCACTCTGCCCCGTACCCTCCTCTGGAGTTCAGATAGCTGGGATCAGACTCCTACCTGTGGCAATGTGAACAAGGAAAATGGAAAAGCCAGCGGGAGGGGAAGGGAAAGGAAATTCGTTCTGCGGTTTAAGTATCGAGGCAAAAGAGAAATTTCACTCCCATTTGGAGGCATATTAAAAGTGTTTATATAACAAAGGAGGGACAAAAGGAAAAACTCTCTCGTCCGCAGACCAAAATGTCGCTGAGCTGGAACCCAAAAGAATTGCCATAATTTATGGCTTTCTTATGAGCCCGACCGACGATCGCCAATCTAAGACGTCGTCCGACCATCCCCCTCTCTCTCTCTCTCCTCTGGCTGCCCCGTCTCTTTCGGAGCCCGCAAAATTCGCCGGCGTTTTTATTATTCATGGATTTAATTAACACCAATTGAACCGCTTGTCGCCTCAGCGCCGTCTCGAACTATTTGGAAAACAATTTTCAAAATTCGTTTAATTTATGGCTTCAGCTTTTGCTCCCCCACTCCCCCAGTTCTTTTTTGAATTTTTAATTTGCCCTTCAGTGATCGGGAAAAAGATGGAGTTAGTTTTCCTAAAGCAACTACAGTGAACATAGAAACTGCAATATGATATAGAAAACAGTAAGTTAAGTAAGTAAAAGGTGAAGATTGTCTAACAAGAAACTTTCCCATTGCCTTCCGTGTAAAAACAAAGGCTTGCATAAGACTTTCCAAATCAATTTCCATTACTTATGCCAGACTTTACTTGGCTGGCTTGGGTACTTCTGGTTTGGCGGCTTAAAAACTGCGCTTTTTCACCCAATCAATTTGAATCGCTTCCATTCGCGTTGCCACCAAATCGATTCGACCCCGGGTTGTTCAAATATCTGCCAGTCAAAGGTTCAAAGTCAGCCAGAGTCGCTGATCCTATAATTTCGCTGATTTCGGCCTTGTTCGGCTTAAACACGGGCGCTTGTCTACAACTATAATTCTCATATTGCCGGGCTTGAAACGCTTTCCTCCAAAAGCACCGTTACCGGGCTCTTAAAGCCTATAATCGGTGACGATCGAAGGAAGGGGAGGAGAAAGGGGACCTGAAGGCAAGTTTACAATATTTCCTTAATTTTTATTTTTTCTTGTGTTTTCCCCGAGAACCCTGCTCATCAAATAAATCTCTGTCCAAAGTTGAGCATTCGCTCCTTGGCCAGCTCTTGGTTCTTGGCCAGTTTCGTTCGAATGGCGTACGGCGTTTTAATTTAAGCCCAAGTTGAGAGCTCCTTTCATTTGGCCAACATGCTAAAGGGTTAAATTGCCCACTGAATCAAAATTATTGGTTTCAAGCCACACAAAAAAGGGCAGGGAACTGCGGGGTCTGCACTTGGTTGCATTGTTTTTGGCCAATGTTCTCTGTGCTCCGCTGTTGTGGTTTATATTTTATACTCTTAAAGAGGGTACTATCACTTGGGAGAGATAATAAAGTATCTTTTAATTAAAAAGTATAAAAATTGTTTTGTATTTAAGTTTAGTTAGGTTGAAAGAAGAACAACTCATTAGTTTCTGTGCTAAAATGAGTTTACATTCATGGAGACATTTTGGACTAAGTTTAAGGTTTTATCCACTAAAATCAAGCAAATATTTTTATTTTTCTGTTTTATTCATTTAGAATAACATAATGCATCGAATTTCATTTATTTCAATGTTTCATCTTCTTGATATAATGTAGATAGATGCAAATAGATATACATTCAAACCTAAATCCATAAGGCTTTTTAAAAACGACACAGGCTTAGGTCCAAGTACAAGTGTATTTCAAAATTCGACTTTTCCTAAATTATTTTGCAATCTCGATTTTTAGTTTTTTGGCCATGTTCATGTGCAGCGGCCTCGCTTGGCCTCTTTTGCCTCATTGCCTTTTTGCACTTTTTCGGCTCTGGGGCGATTCGAGAGCTCCTTTCCTTCAGCTCCTTTCGAAGCGGAGGGTCATTGCTTTTGCTTGCTATCTGGCCAGCGGAGAATACGAGTTTTTCCGCCATTGAACAAACATGCCCATGCCCAAGACCAAGAGTGCAGTATCTGCGATGGCTGCACTCGGAGGAGTGAGTCTTGCCAGCAAGTGCAGCCGCAAGAAGTTTCCGCCAAGTGTGTCCAGAAGAGTGGGCGGTCCCTCGGCATTCCTTTACCAAAAGCTCCTCTACATATACATCGAGTATATCCACTTCGATGGTCCGGCTGGCTGAAATTGCATGCTTAGGCAGCCCCAGCTCTCTCTCCACCAGCGGAAAATAAGAAGAAAAAACGCGACTCTTTACCGTTCTAAAAGTAATAATAATAATAACCAAGTAAGAGCAAGGGAAATTATCAGCGGGCCAAGAAACACTTCGAGGGAGGAACCAATCAAGAGGCGTGAGGCAGATGCAGGGGTTTGGGTTTACCTGGCTTGAAATCAGGAAAACAGCTTGCTTTAGGTGACTCTTCAACAGGTATTTGGCAATAGAGATATTTTAGTATTAGAAACCATATAATATTCTACACAAAGACCTGAAATCTTTGTTTTTGTAAGAGGCATAAGAACGCCTTTAAGTATGCAGCTTTGTCTTGGGTATAAGTTAGCTAGTGACTAGGGTAAAAAACGATTGAATTTTACTACGAAACAATGTAGTTTGGTTACCAATTTATCACTTAAGAGCATATATGGATTTTCCCTTCTTTTATATAATCTTAAACTGAGAACGTCCTCCTCAAAATGTATCCTCAGGGTGTTCGCATAAGCCAAGAAGTGGCTTTCGTTCGACTTATCTTTAGTCAAATGCAAATACTGAATCCCCCGCAGCTTTCAGCTACAATGTTGCCAATCGCTGAGTGAGATCTCAGAGCTAAAAGTGAAAAGCAAGAAAAACCAATTTATTACCTCGTTGGTTGCACTGTTGAACTCTTGGAAGGAGTCGATTAATATAAAGTGTTAATAAAAATAAGAAAGGAATGTTTTTTATAAGTGTAAGTTTATTTTCATCATTAACCAACGTTTATATCATGTTTTATGATTAAGAAATTAAGAGAGTAAGCCACTAAACTCATAACTAGGAGTGTTTTCCTTCTATCAAAAAGGTATTCTTAGGGGAAAGGCATATCACATCATACCCATATCTCAAAATTGAGTTTCTAATCCCTCTTCCCCTCTTATTTCCAGTCACCAATCCTCGACTAGGACCCCTGGCTTCAGAATGGATCCCGACTGCTTTGCGATGTCCTCGTACCAGTTCGTCAACTCGCTGGCCTCCTGTTACCCACAGCAGATGAATCCGCAGCAGAATCACCCGGGAGCGGGCAACTCGAGTGCTGGCGGCAGTGGTGGCGGGGCGGGCGGTAACGGAGGCGTGGTGCCCAGTGGCGGGTCAAACGGGGGTCAGGGCAGTGCGGGGTCGGCCACTCCGGGTGCCAATGATTATTTCCCAGCAGCGGCGGCCTATACGCCCAATCTGTACCCCAACACACCGCAGGCCCACTATGCCAATCAGGCTGCCTACGGCGGACAGGGAAACCCGGATATGGTGGACTACACACAGCTGCAGCCGCAGCGACTGCTCCTGCAGCAGCAGCAGCAGCAACAGCAACAGCAGCAACATGCCCATGCAGCAGCAGCAGTTGCTGCCCAGCAGCAGCAGCAACTCGCCCAGCAGCAACACCCGCAACAGCAGCAACAGCAGCAGCAGCAGGCCAACATCAGTTGCAAGTACGCCAATGACCCTGTGACGCCGGGCGGAAGTGGGGGTGGGGGTGTTCCTGGCAGCAGCAACAACAACAACAGCTCCAACAGCAACAACAACAACAGCCAGTCACTGGCCAGTCCGCAGGATCTGTCCACCAGGGATATATCCCCGAAGCTATCCCCCAGCTCGGTGGTCGAGAGTGTGGCCCGTTCGCTGAACAAGGGCGTCTTGGGCGGTAGTCTGGCGGCTGCCGCAGCTGCTGCCAGTTTGAACAACAACCACAGTGGATCCGGAGTGCCCGGCGGTCCCGGCAACGTCAATGTCCCCATGCACAGCCCGGGTGGCGGGGACTCGGACTCCGAGAGCGACAGCGGCAACGAGGCGGGCAGCAGCCAGAACAGCGGCAACGGAAAGAAGAATCCGCCGCAGATCTATCCCTGGATGAAGCGAGTGCATCTCGGAACGAGTGAGTACTTCATTTGAATGTGATTTAACCTAGTTTTAGTTCTTAAGAACTTGACTTAACGGAACTCTTAATCTTAAGTAAGGGAGTGCTGCAAGCCCTTGCAGTATGTTAACAAAATGCTTGTAAATCAAGTACAGGCTGCATTATTCTAAACAACAAACATTTTCTAAGATTTCTAATTAAATAATTATACTTTTGAATTAACGATTAACCCTCAATGAGCTAGTATCAGCATCTTCAATTAGTTTTCCCAACAATGTGCTGTCTCACCTTACTGACTCACTGGCTGTATCGACTTATGATGGAATTAGCTAGAAATGGGGATCATAAATCAACATCCATCCACCGATAACTCACCTCAATCGGTGCCTCTTCCAGTGCTCATTACCACTTCTGCGAGACACTTGTCTCACTCAGCCATTCAATGGGTGTTGCAACTCTAGCCAGCTAGGAATATTCATTGGGCAGCAAATGCTGCCGAGTGCTTAGCACCAAATTGTCTGGCAAACTGTGCGCGCGGGGAATCTTGTCAAAATACATAAACAATAACAACATTTCCCTCGCACTTACGCTCTTTGGATTTTTCTCCAGTTTTGTGGGGGAAAAGCAGAGGCAAACGCTGCGTGAAAAACTCGACCGCGAAAATCGTAGCTCGTGAAAATTGTAAACAAACGATCCCGCAGCTAAGGCCGGCTGACTCCCACAATAACTCATAATATCGTTTCAGATACACATACAGATTCAGATAAAGATACAGATATATATATATATAGATATCTGAGCAGACAGATACTGAGGCTTGATATAAATCTCAGCACCTCGCTCGGTTTATATTTAAATTTAACCGAACAAATTTCCACCCGAAATTTGTTGGGCTGGAAAATTGTGAACGAAAAATTGTTCAGTGATTTTTCATCATGTCTCTGGCGCGCACACAGATTTTTCTTTCTGCCACCCCCTCCAGCCTCCTGCTTCAGATTCCCCCAAAGAATTTTCCACCTTTTCTGACCCATCGACAGGGCAAGCTCACGAAGTCGTTTTCGCAGCTCCCAAGAGTAATCAAATTATTGAGAGGATTCCTCATATTCGCGCAGTGGTTGGGGGAGATTAATTGGGTTGCAAATAGTTTGACATTTGCTTGGATCTACCTGGCTGCAATCGTACCTGCAGCTCGTTTATTATTTTGCTAAAAAATAATTAAATATCTCTGTCCACGTATAAATCATTGGGTATTCAGGTTCTGGGAAACGCTTTTCGGCGGCTCTTGGCTGGTGTCTCATAAATCAAATTCCGCGCTCATTAGCTCATTGAAGTATAACCGAAAGGCACTCGAAATTATTCAATAAAAGATATTAGATATAGGTGGTTTTCCACGTTGAAAAGGTTAATTGCTGGCTTGCGTCTTGCATTTTCATATTTGCATTTGCATATTTGCTTACTCAACCGGCAGTTGACAACCCGAAATCACAACATGTCAGCCAATTAAAGAGACGCTGAAGTGCTGCCACACGAACTGCATATTTATGGATAGTCAGCAGATACAGATACAGATACAGATACATATTGGCTTGATTTTCCATTTCGATTCGCGAGAGTGTGAGCATGTGAGCATGTGAGTGGGGAAACTCGTTCCCTGCTCGGCTCCAATCAATGGGGCACATTGTTATTATTTGTGTATCTGTTACTCATGGCAGCCGGGCAATAACAGCAAGAACGGCGAGTATCTGTTATGCAAATTGCAGCAAGTGGAGGAATTGATTGCAGCGGGGGGAGGGCGGTAATGAAGAGCATGAACTTCACTTGGAACAGCCTGGCAGAGACATGAATGAACTGGGTATCTCTCGGAGGCAGATACATTTCTGCTGGCTGCTCACATCCGACGCACTGCGAACGCAGGAAATGTTGTATTTGTGGGGCGAAAGGCTCGTGTATCTCGTGTATCTACGTCTGGCTTTGCCATTTTCCTTGAGTTTTCATGCATCGCCGAGATTTAATTACTTTCTTAATCATATTCGGTTGAGGGCAATGTGAAAGGCAGCCATCTATACAACTATGTGCAGCCATATCTTTAAATATAATTACATCTCCTCTGCACATCTCCTCTGCCACAACAATAGCTCTGCTCTCCAAGCTCTTATGTAAAACATACAATTATGTGCAACTATATTAATGGCACGGCTAGGTGTGTATTTAAGGAGTTCCTAAGATCTTTGTACAGCTTTTCTTCTAATATAATTATGCAATATGAGCTTAGTGCTTTTGTAGATAAACACACTTTAAGATACATTGCAGCTAGCTTAGTTAGCTTAGTTCATGGAGTACTAATAATACTTTAGGGTAGTCTCTTAGTTCGATTGTTAGGAGGTATAAAAGAAGGCTGATTTACCTTGTAGATACCACTCCCTGCTCTCTTCAAACAACAAGAGTCAACAGCCTTTTAGGCAATTAGGCTGGCCACTTTATCGTCCCAGAGCACAACTCAATTTTCGACAGCAAATGTCTTTATTAGAAATTAGCTGGGTGTGTGCTGGCATGAGCAGGATTTTTTATAATTGCGCCCGAACTAAGAATCGCTATTAAAAAAACGCTGTTGCAGGTGCCAAGCAGCGCAAATGCCAATAATAAAGGGCAATCTCGAGGGTAGCATCGAAACAGGCGCTGATTAAAGTCCAGTAAAAAAGCAACAGCAACATCATGTTAACAATTATGCAAATTTCGAGTGCATGTTGCTTATGAAACGGGGCTGGAGCAGGGGCAGGGGCAGGGCAGAGTCCGGCTGATTGCATATAATCACGTCAAGTTGTTGCTGCGGCAACCATTTTATAATGCAAAGAAAAAACGCCAGCTCGAACGCCATCTTCAGAGTGGAGAGAACTGCGAGCGAGGCTGTCTGAATTCTGCGAAACACTTTTCGCAAAATGAGTTTACTTTTTGCCGAAGAGCTCCTAGTGGCATCAAGTATCCGCCAACCCGCCAATAAGCACACCCTGTGGTGCCTTGCTGCATGTTTGGTTAATATCGCATGCAGTCTTGTGAAGTCTTTAGGCATTCGAAATTCATTCCCTAATTGACAAGACCAAAGCTGGCAGACCTCCAAGCAGATCATCAAAAGATGCTCCCAGCGCTGATTCAGATTCATATTCAGATACAGATACAGATACAGATACAGATGCAAAGATACTCATGCTATCTGCCGAAATGTCAAATGCCTATTAGATCGCCTCTCCTCTGCCTTTTCCCTATACAAATTGACAATTTGTTGATATTTTTGCTTAGTTTTTTATACAACCAGGCCGCTCCCTAATTAGTCGGCTATTTATTTATTTATCCACTTTGTTTGATTTATATTTTCTCCCTGGGTTGGCCTTTAGTAAGTGGCTAATTGCACCTAAAAATATGTTCGAGCTTGCATGCAAGTTTTGGCTTAAAATTTCCCGTAAATTGCTTATAATTCGTATTATTAGCGAATCTCGTGTCAATAATGGTAACGGAGCAGAGGAAATCGGAACAGAAGCTAGGATGAAAATGGGAACTGCTGGGGAATGAATCTAGTGCTGGGGAGAGCACTGCCTGCTAAAAGTCTATTTTCTAAATCTAAATTGCAAATATCTGCAGTTCTGTTTCTTTGGCCGGGCCGATCGTGCCGTTCAACCCGAAGGCTTTGGCCACTCGATGCCGCAGATGCCAGGATGTTACACAAAATTAATAGTTTGCAAACGAGTTGAATGCCAGATACAAGATACGCGACGGTTGCGCTGCAAGGCAGCAGAATGCAGCAGCCTCTGAGACTGGGAGTGCACTGTGGGGAAAAGTGGGATTTAAATCTAAGAATCTCATATAAGGATTTATGCTTTTAGGATGAACTTTACTGAGGAGGATTAAGAACTGTTTTTTAGACATTAGCATACGAAATGTAGTCTTGTACCTTGATTTACCTTGAAGTGAAACGCAGGCTGATTACATTGTGATCGTTATCATTAGGTAACATGTTTTGAAAATGTTTCAGTTCTTGTAAAAAACTTTCTTTGGTTTGTACAATATATTTTGGAAGGGGTTACCTTATGATATATCATCAAAGTTTGGAGTTTATTTCATGTTTTCTTTTTTCTTTTTAATTAAAATTTAAAGGATTCCCCTTCAAAAATGAAACAGTTTGCTATGATTATTTTTTATAGCTTGAAATGTAAATTCCCTTGTTAATACTTCCTATTTATGGGAATATCTTAACTTCATGACTCCCTTTTCTCTGCGTGTTAAACTGCGGTTGTGTTCCCGATCTCGGAAATGGTCTGTGTTCTGGTCCGGGGTGTCGCTGTCTGCTGGTGGACCTGCTGTTGCACTTTCCAGCTCCTGCCGCCATGCTGCTTTTGCGCCTGCCTCCGCCCATAAAAAATGTAAGAGAAAAACGATGAAACGGCAGACAGAACCCGGAGATGGAGAGCTTGGAGAACCAGGGCCAGGAAGAAAAACGCGCCCGGCATTCGCTGGCCAATTACATTTTCATTAACTTGGAACACGACTTTTCAAATAGCTACGTTTAATCATAATGATTGTTATTATTTTTATTTTGGTGCTCGGCGCGTTCTAAGGTCCCCCCGAAAATGAAAATGATTTTTATAATGCCCACCGCGCGAGGTGAATGCAAAATGCCAGGCAACGTCATCGCCAGGCGGCGCAAGGTGCTGAAAGTGCAGTAGAACATAAATTTATTTCACTGCTCCTCCGGCTCTGCTCTTGCCCAAGCCGAGACCCATTATTAGCCAACTCCGCGGCATCCTGGCATTCTCTGCCGCTAATGGGAGCCTGAAAACAGAAGTGCCTGTCGAATTGTTTCGCACCAAGCGTAACTTTTTGGCAACGCACAGGCTGAGTGTGTGCTTACTGGCGATTGTTCTTAATGAATTTCGGTGTCCCATTCAGTGGCAGGGGATGCCAGGCGGACTCATCACTCTGCTTGAATTGAAATTCATTCGGCTTTAAGTTGGCCAGATACGGGCACT